TATATATATATATATATATATATATATATATATATATATATATATATATGTATATATACATATATACATATATATATATACAGTGAAATCCTTTGTTATCTTTATAGTTGTCAGGCTGCTGCCATGTCATCATTTTCCAGCCACTTTTGTTGAAATTTGCATATTTCCATTCTCTAGCTTTTTCTCCGACTAACGCTTCTTTTCCGAACATACAGCTTTATGATCAAGCACAAGCAGTTCCGCCCAAATATATTGCGATATAATATATCTGACAAAATTGTTTTTATAATCATATTTTTAATCAAGCAATTTAAATGCCAAGATGATCACATTTAATGAGTTTAAGGGCCAATTAAGGCCTTTATTTGAAAAATAATTTAATGACTTTTAATGACTCACAGAAACCCTGTTAATCAATATAGTTCAACCTATTTATGCTGTAATGTTTTTTTTTTACTGATCTTTTCCTATCTATGTCATAATTACTTGCTGATTTGTTTTGAACCTCAGAGCATTTTGTGTTGTTTGGCTTGATAAAAAGAGCTTAGTACATAAAGTGATTTAAAGTGTGGTTGGGTCTTTGCAGAGGCCGTCTCACCTCCCAGGGTAACATTTCCATGAAGAAAGCGTCCCTGGAAAATGAGGCGCAGTATACTGGGGCTGCTCACCTGCTCTTCCTCCCATCCTGCCATGGAAAGGAGAAACAAAAGCCTTATTTATGCTGTTCTTCTAGGTGTTACAGCTCATCAATGGAGGCAGTGTTTTATATAAACATGTAAGGCACAACAATTGAAATCTAACAAAGATCAAAAACACTACTTTAACTGAAATATTGGTAACTTAATAAATGACAACATATAGTCCTGGCTTCACCTGCATGTTATTATTAACTATTTTTATTCCTAATGAAAAATATGCATCAAACACATTAGCTTACACAACTATAACAAAATAAATCAGAAACAACAAGAAATTTGACATTAATTGTATTTAACTAATTAGAGTTTACATGATTAGTAATAAAATAGAGTTAATATAAAGTCCATGAAGTGTACCTGCTGGCCAGTTGTCAAACACATGCTTGGCGATGTCTGTGGCCGAGTCATTTGGAGAGAAAGTGAAGTCTTGTGTTTTGCCACTGACCAAGATAAGGCGGAGGTGCACCTAAAAAAACAAATGAAAATATCTCAATTTGTATTTAAAAAAACAACAACAAAGAATTAGTATGTTGTAGTTGATCTCTTCCAGATAAAATCTCCCCAGCTACCTAAGCTGAAACTTCCTCTAACCTCTTCTGACATGAAGTGACCTTCCGTAGGCTTAGAAGAGACAGACATTCCAGTCTAATTAGATTTATCCAAACCAGATCTTCACTCTTTGACTGGCTGACTAGATCTGGTGGGGGGCTTGGGGTAAAGTAAGCCCCCTGTGTCAGAGACAGAAGAAAAGGGGTGGGGTTGGAATGGAGAACACTGCCCCCTTAGATTCAGGGTGCTGCTGCTCCGATGCAGACTGTCAGACTAATGTGATAACCCCAGGTGTCCCAGACAGCTCTGGGCTGAATTATTAATTTAACATGGACAGTACATCGTACAGGACGACAGCGGGTGGCTATATGAAGAGTTTTAAACTATGGGGTTTCAACCAAAATGTATCCTGTATTCGTAACATTTCTATTTCTTCATGTGCAAAACAATCACAATAGAGCTGTACAAAATTAAATTTTGTTTTGTATACACTCGTGTGTGTATATATATATATATATATATTTTTTTTTTTTTGTCATTTTGTATACACAGAGGGTGTATATATATATACACCCTCTGTGTATACAAAATGACAAAAATTGTCAAAAAAAAAAAATGTCTAAGGCTAATGGCTTAGACTTTAGTGTTGCGCCGATGCCATTTTTTTGCCCCGATACCCGGCTGTGCAGTATCGGCCGATACCGATACCATAATAATGTAAAATAATTGCCATCATGGCTTTGTCAAGCTGCTGCCTACCTTTGTGAAGCAGGAAAAAAATCTACTACAAAGTGAATCCACTAGAACTTTTTATTGCCTACCAGGAGTGGGTGACAATAGTTGAATAAACTTATGGCTCTTAAAATGGTATTGGTGCCCTATTTGTTGGTACCCGCCGATACCGATACCACCATTTTAGGGCAGTATCGGGGCCCCGTCCGATACTGGTATCGGTGCAACACTATTAGACATTAAATGTTTGGTTATAAAGACCAGACAAGTGCTGATAAAAAGCAGGTACCAAACATCTCCATTTTTAAATCATTCCACACAGTTTAAGTTCTCTTTAATTAGAAACCCCTAAAAACTTCTGGTCAGCTGGATGAAAGAAAGGTCCCATATTTTTGTTTTTTATCAAAGATAGTTTTGGTTGCATTTCTGTTAAAAAAAATGCATTGTATGTTGTAAAGAACAAAGGAGCAGCAAACTTTTTAACAACTCAATGGTGTACTGTGAAACAACCAGCAAGTTTAAGGCATGTCAATCACGCAGCAGGCGGAACCACAGCAGACAGGATCCACCTGTTAAGGGCAAATTAGACTTCTGCAACCACACACATCAAATGTTGCTTGGGTCTGGTCATGAACCAGTTTTGCTAGTATGCTTCTGCACCGTCAGTCTGGAATTTCTAGGGATGGACAGCAGTTTCCCACCCAAAGTGCAAGGGGGAGCCTATTGGAGAACTCGCGAGAACTCTGACAGACTGTACTTCAGAACCTCCTCAATTAACCTTTCGTCGTAGTTGTCCATTCTACCTGTTCCTCGGTTTTTAAAAATGGCACGCCCCGGCACCGAATCGAGAAGGACGACCACACAGACAGCCGGAAAGGCATCCCAAGGACCAATCACAGCTGCTTTTTTCTGGCACTTCCGCTTGTCAGCGCGGGATTGCGACAGAGGCGTAGTCAGGTTTTTTTTAGATTTGCGACAACAGCTGCAGAACCTCTGTGCGGGGGGGGCGTGGTCTCACACAGAGACAGATTTGACGGTTGCAGAGGCTATGCGTGCGTCAAAAGCATAAATTAGCCTTTAGACCACCAATGCTTCTCATCCAAAACAGCACCTTAATGGTAGAGTGCAAAAGAAAGACTAATAAACTGTAAAAAACACATTTATTCCACATTTCTTTTTGTTTGGGCAATCCACAAAAAAACTCTCCATTTATAATACAATACCAGTCAATAATAATACAAATTAACCTAACTGTCCTTTTTCTGAACTGTGGGAGGAAGCCAGAGCAACACAGGAGTACCCACAGAAAACATATGACCAAATTGACCACCAAAGACAACAACCAAGAAGGCATTTAAACCACTAGCCTGAATGTTACAGTAAACTAGATTTGAAAAAACGTATGTCAATCAATACACACTTTTCAAATTCTTGATTACCTTTAATTAACAATATAGTTTAAAAAAGTAAATATAAAAAAACAAAAGTGTCAAAAATCCAATAGAAGTGTCTGTTCGTGGAGATGTGCATATTTATCGACATGTGGGACAAATTTGCAGATGGTACATGAACTTTCCTCTGTGGATAAATCACAGCGAACAAAACAAAGAGACTTAACTGAATGAGTGTGACGTTTGGGAAGGGGTCAATTCAACACCCTGATCTGTTTACAAACACTGAACCCCCCCTCCCGCTCCTCTGAGCCTCCCTTTGAACCGGATAACCTCACTGTAGTGTTGCATGTGCATGTCATCATCAACAAGCTTTGTTGCCTTTTATCCTCAGCAAAATAAAAACAAAGTCAAACCCTGCCTGGTTGCCCGTAGCAACAGCATTCATCACAAATTCATAAGATTTTTTTGTAATCCGTATAAATATTTTAAACACGGGTGTAAGTGACCATTTTAAAGATTTTTTAAAGACAAAGGTTTTGGTTTTCCTGTTTTTGTGAGCATAAGACCAGCTGGAACCTCACAGACAGAAACCACCGTTTTATGTTTGTCTTTCAAATAAAATATTCCCTGATCTAAATAATTTTATAAAAATAAAACTGTCTGCATGCCAGAAAAAAAAATATTTATGTAAATCAAACTTTGCAGGAACCCCCCAAAAATGAACCAATGAAATTAAAATCTTGAAACAAAAACAATATTATGAACCTAAAATCTGAAAAATAACTATTAGATTTAAAAACCTGTAAATCTTCAAAATGTTTCAATGTACTTCCATGTATTTTTGCTATATTTATTTCAAACTATATACAAATAAACCTCCTCTACCATAAGTCATTACTTATAAAGCTTTACAGAGTTGCATCTCAATAAATAACATCAATAAAAAGGTCATAATTTTCATAAAATATAAAATTGCTCCAATTTAGATTTATTCCACATATAAAGTCTGACAGCTATTTGTGCTAATGTTGATGTTTAAGGATTACAGGCAATAAGGACCATCAATTCAGTTTCTTATAAAACCAAAATAAAAATAAAATTAAAAAGAGGTTTAAAGGCACGCTGTGAACTTTTTGACCTAAATATTTGACGCATACGAGTTATTTTAAATGATTCCTCAGGGCAATATACAGCGCTTGACACTATCTTTGTTACGAGCAGGGCTCCCCTCTTGTATGTAAGTTGGGAGAAGACGCACCGTCATTGGCCAGGTCATGTGACCTGGAAGAACGTATCGCTTTGAGGCCGCTGGTTCTTATATAGTCATGGAGCTAAACCCTCTTCTCTATTTTCCACCTGTTTGACTAATGGTCATGGCTGAGGCGAGGAAAAAATTAAACCCGCTGAGAAAACGTGAAAGGGATCGTGCGCGAAAAAAAACAAGAGTCGATCGTGGAAAGAAGTTTGCTCCTTGGCGCAGGCTGAAAGTAGAAGTCGGAGGTAAAACCGATTCTCTTTAGTCAACGTTATTATTAGACTGGTAAGTTAACAACTCTGCGCCAAATATACAATCATATATCTTTGTTATTTTCGATGTTTCGAAGTAAAATAGGGGCAGAGAAAGCTAGCAGACTACAAACAAAAGCTAACTGACGCGGCCCGTATGACCCAGTGACTATTCACTGGAGCTCCACTGCTGCTCCTCCAAGCCACACAGTCTGGCCTGTCCCGACGGTGCTCCCCAGAGAGTAGCAGCATTTCTCGAACCCTCTGAGCTGAACCTAGATGCCTAGCGTAGTTCCCGATCAAAAGACACAGGAGGCTGGCCAGCTGACTGTGGACCTTTGCGACTAGGCTGCTAGCGGCGTCAGACATGAAAGTTACAGGTCTAGCGCCCCTATTGGCAAAAGTTACTCGGTCTGCCTTTAAGTTAAAAAAATTTTTTTTTTTATTGCCCACAAAATCCTGCAATTATAACATTTGCCTGTTGACATACACCCTGAACTTGGACAAATATATAAAAATATGGACTACACTGTATCCAAGTTATCTAAAGTCCTCTTTTAGATGAAAGTAAATCTGCATTACCCCAGGCTCACACCGACTCCGGTCTTACCGTTGCGGTGCGGTGGGTGCGGCGCCGCAGTGATTCCAAGTCATTAAAAAGACGTAAACCTCTCTCACCGGCTGCTGAGCTGTCCGGCTGCGGTTACCGAGACACTCCGGCGCTGCAGAAAATTCCGCAAGAAAGCTATCCTTGCGGCGTGCCGGAGCCCTCCGCAACAAGCTCTCGCTAATATCCTTATTTGGGCCGTGTTATCGCGTGAAGTTACATGAACTCAAGTGAACTTCTGTTCTCGCGAGTTAAATCTCCGGACCTGTTGCCGGAGCCGCAGAGCCGCACCGCACCGTAGTCAAAAGGGCGGTGTGAGAGGGGGTGTGCGGGAGTTGCGGTCTCCGTCGGCTCGGTAACCGCACCGGAGCCAGTGTGAGCAAGGGGTTATATTTTGAATTATGGTCCAGTATCTGTATGAAGTGAAAAGACTCTAAAGATTCTGGGATGTCATCCGCTCAAGTTTTATTACAGCTTAAGTCAACCCAACCATCTAGCAGACATTTCAGATTACATCGTGTTTTTCACACAACACACCAAAACCTAGAGACTGAGCAGCAGCATTGTTCTTGGTGATAGTTACTTGCCAAGTAGAATGATGACATTACGGTACTAATACAAAACTTCCCATTCAATGAGGACAAAACTCAGTTACACATTGTCCCCATAACAGACTGGGGGGTTTGGTATTTCAGAGAATAAAAAACATACATCAGGTGTTACCAATGGGGACAGTTAAGAGTATATTCAACTGGTCAATTATATTAATAGCATGTGGAGCACCAATGAATGACATGTTAAATATGGCTTCAAGCCAAAATAAGGCATCCAAGCAGTCCCTTCTTGTCACTGTGTTGCAAAAACTGACTTTCTGATGACAACTGGATTTTAAAATGCTTTGTAGTACTATAGTCCACCTGCATAAGGTAGGTACTTGATGTTGTATTATGATATTTGGAACACAACTAAAAAGGTCCTGTATCATGCTTTTTGAAGCCTCTTAAAGTCAACTACAGGCAAATATATGATGAAATATTGCCTTTGGTACTATGAAATATTAATTTGTTATGTAATTTAGCCGTTTAGTTAAAGCCCAGAAGAAAGACACTAGCCTTCAATGTGATGCATAGTCTGGCAGCTTGGAAACAAGTTTTTTTTTTTGGGGGGGGGGCAAAACAGATCTGCCTTGCTATTGTTTGTTTTTCTCCTGAAGCATTTATATTTTCTGCAAATGAAAATCAACAATGCAAATGTATTAATATTCCTAACTCCAGTGCCATTTAATTTCCTGACAAATCAATATGATTTTACTAGCGTTACATAAGCAGTTTATAGTGTTGCAAATACATTTGGCAAATATTTTGGTTGAAATTGGGGGCTGGGTTAAAAAAAGGGGACAATCAATTGGTATCTAAACCTTGAAAGGAAAGTAGGCCAGCCTTTAACAGAGATTAGACAGATGGTCTTCACAGGAACAGCCGTCACGATCCCAGATAAGTGTTTGTGGAAGTTGGCTAATCCACAACCCCCCTTCCATGTCCCACCAAAACCAAAACACCTAAATTATCCAAACTTGAGCAAATCATCTACAAGCTACAGGAATACCATGGTAATCATATGCAATCATGGCTGATTAAAGCATATTTTTGCTCCCTGTTGTTATTGTTCAGGTGGGAGAGCCTCACTCACCAAATCATTATCCCTCTGGGTGGTCATGGCTCAGACAGGAGGAAGGCCGTGGAGCAGAGCGGACAGGACTTGCGGGCTTCAGCTGCTGGAGACGGGGCCAGAGCCCTGACACAAACAACACCAACACTGTGAGGTTGATTACCACAGCCACCAAAACTGCACTCAGTTAACCTGACTGTGGTCAACATAACCGCAACCAGCTGTCAGTCAAATGTAATCTAATAATCCAGGAAAAAATGGTTTATACAAAATTAAAGTTTTACTTAAATCCATTCGAAGAGCTCCGCGGCTCCTAGCAGATTCCAGCAGTTAACATACAATAAAACTAGCTCGCATGCTAATATTTCATACCTAGATTAAACTTCCATGTCAAATAACACGTTTTAATACAGATTTGCCATTTTCTCGTGCAAAAGAAGCGTATTTCGTTAGCATATCCATAAGTATCGTGTTTTGTCTTGACAAATGTCGACTCCAGGTTTGAGCTAACGGTAGCATTAGCTCACAGGTTAGCTTAGCTTCTACTGATGCTATCGCTGGCTAACCAAAACCCCGAAAAATGGCACTGTTCTTGGCCGTTAACCTCACCTGCATCTGATGAACGTGATGAAATATTTCATTCAGTTAAAATGATGGATCGACAAGAAGTAGTTTTCGAAGGATATTTTTGGGGGCCGGAGATGGATATCGTTTAGGTTGGTTCGGGGGTATTGGATGCTAATGGACGGGAAGACACCGGATGTCCGCAAAGGCTTCTGGGACTTGGAGTTACGATAAGAAAGGACAGCTCTGACCCAGAAACCTTGGAAGGCTACCCAAGGCTGTCATAATGTAATCAAAAAGAAAAAACAATTAACTTTTAATTATTTAATAAATATGTATCTATATAATTTACTCTATTAATTTATCAAATAATAATCAAATTTAAGGATATAAAAATAAATTAAATCCACTGTTACAATCATGGGGCCTAGACGAAATGTGGCCAATTTTTTGATTTGAATTCTTAACCCTCACAGCCCCCCTCCCACCTCACTGCTGACAGAGGTGATCAAATTTAACTGTTTGAGGTAACTAGATTTGGTTGACACCTTGTTCTGCAAAAATTATAATAAATAATAATAAAAAAGGCAACCTAGCACACAAGTAGACCCAGCCAAATATGTGAAATGTGCAAGTAGAGCAGCAGGAGAAAGAAGTAGGCTAATATAGGTGGATTAGGAGAAGGAGGAGAGAGACGTGATTCAGCAGGGACAGACTGGAAATCACCCCCCACATCAATAACTTATTATTGTTTATTTTCCATTTTTGTCTATACATTACCTACATTTACCCACAATTCTATGTTTGTTGAATTTATTATTTTTTTAAATTACAAACCAGATGATTTAAGAGGCCTGTTTACCAAATGGTTTTATTCCTGAGTTATCTATTTTTGTACATATATTCAGTTGTTACATTTTAAAAGAAATCCTGTTGCATTGGATAACATTAACTGTGTGCACAGATAAAGATCAAGGCTATTTCCATTATTATTAGTCACTAGATATTTTACTAAATTAATTGAAGTGTTTAAGTTAAAGAGAGGAATAAGCCTGCTATTAGATAGGGTTAAGTGTGGAAAGACAGTCCAACATTTAGAACAAGACAGAGGTTGCATTAGGCCTTCTGCATAATTTGATTTCAAAGCTATTAAACGTCTCAAAAGATCAACTAATGCTTTATTAGTAGCATGGTTAATTTAATTAACTTCAATAGAACGTGTTTTAATTAACGTACACGTGATCAACATGGAAATTGGTGACTCAAGAAAAATTTGTGAGAGTTTTTTTTAAATCAGTAGCACTTGGGAATATAATTATTTCATTATTTTAGCAGTGAAATGCATTTCTTGTATTTAGCTTCACCAATCTTCCTCTTAACCTTGACTAACTTCCCTGTTCCAGCTAAAGCAAAAGTATTCCCACACCATGACACTGTCACTATCTTTTTTTCAACTTGGAGACAGTTTAATCTTTAGTCCACCATGTTCCACCAGACATAGCATTTTACACATAGGCAAAAAAGGTTCACTTTGTTTGTTCAGTTTCTTTCTCAGAATATCCCTTATCCTCTGGATCCATTGTTCCGCATTTTTTAGATATCAGTCTGTGCCAGTACACATCTTGTTAACATCTGCAGAAGCCTGTTAAAGTCCTGGTTATTCAAATCATGTTTACAAGCACAGGCAAAGATGTAAAGCATGCCAAAAATGGACACTGTTGACCTTAAATAATAATAATGTGCTGTTCAGTTTTGATCAACTATAATAAGCGGGCTATACGTCACAGTGATCTATTTAGTAAAACATGTGTGATGTGTCAGACATTGTTTTTTTTAACCATGGTTCAACAGAATGATTTAAAAAAATAAACTCATGAAATAGGCCTGAACAAAAATGTTCTACCCCTAGAAAAAAACGCTGAAAATAATGTAGCCAAAGGGACATGATATATCCATCTGTGTCCTCAAATTAGCATCACAGGTGTCTACAATCTTGTAATCAGTCAGTGGGTCTCTATATAGGGATACGGTCAGTCAATGTGCTGTTTGGTCACATGGTGTGTACTACACTCTACATGAACCACAGAAGGAAAGAGTCAACCTATTCTCATTATGAGTTCGTATGAAATCGTACGAAAAGCTATGCACCGTAATTTCGTACGTTTTGGACGTCATATGCGCATGCGCATCTTACGCACAATTCAAGAACATAGAATATAAATTACAATTAGCCCTAACCCTGACCCTAACCCTAACCCTAAGATATAAAACAGCAAGCAACGTAGTTAGAGACATGAATAAGTGATTATTGCACTGTTTTTCCCAATTTTACGTCCGTCCGCAGATCTGTTTTTTTTCTCTGTCTGCCAGCGCATGCGCACTGATCTGGTTTTTTGAGGAAAAACGTCCAAAACGTACGAAATAGTGTGCATAACTTTTCGTACGATTTCATATGAACTGATAATGAGAATATGTTGAAAGAGTTGTCTCAGGATATTAACCCTTTATAGTGCAAGTTACCACTTTGATCTCTTGCATAGCCCTTACAAATGGAGTGCCCCTCATCCCTCAGTGAGGCCTTATATCGAACCATTCAGCAAAGATACTGCTATGTGGCTGTACATGTTATTATGTCATTTGAATATTTAGATGAGTCCTTGAATGTTAAATTAAGATGAAAAAAGTTAACAAGTTAAGAAAAAAAAATGAAAAAACTGAGTTAAAAAAGTAAAATATGTAACTGCCTGTATCAGAATTAAAGCTTTATTGTTATGCTGTGATTGTTTTTCATTGATTTCTTACAGAAGCACTTTTGTTTTGTTTTTTTCTTAATATATTAGGGCAAGTAGGCGTTTCTTTTTATTTTGCCATCAAAATATATGCATTTTTTTGAATGTTACAAAAGTAATAAGGTCTTTTCTTGTCCCACGATAACACTCTTGGCTTAAAATTTAGATTTCCAAAGTGTTTCACTAACTGCTGTATAAAGGATTAAAAAGAACACTTTAGACATGCATGTTAAAGATGAAAGCTAGAAGACCATCTCCTTGCAGCTTGATATTCCCGTGACTACAGTTGCACATATTCAGAAATTTAAGATTGATAGGAATCTAGCAAACTTCCCTGGATGTGACTTCAGTAGGAACATTGATGGCAGATCAGAGAGATGGATAATACAATTGATAAAAAGATAGCCCAGAAAAAAAAATTCTAAAGAGAGGGAATGTGAACTTCAAGCTCAAAGAACGTCAGAGTCAGATCACACCATCAGTCATTGTTTGAGCCGAAGTGGACATAATTGAAGACGAGCAAGCAGGACACCGTTGTTGAAAACAAATCATAAAACCAAACTAGGATTGCCAAACTACATGTTGACAAGCCACAAAGCTTCTGGGAGAATGTCCTATTGATAGATGAGATAAAAATTTTACTTTTTGCCAAGGCACATTGGCTCTATGTTCACAGATGGACAAATTAAGCATATCAAGAAAATAATACTGTCCCTACTGTGAAACATGGACGAGGCTCTGTTATGTTCTGGGGCTGCTTTGCTTCATCTGGTACTGGGTGTCTTGAATCTCTGCTGGGTATGATGACATTACAAGACTATGAAGGGATTCTAGAGAGAAACATGCTGCCCAGTGTCAGAAAGTTTGGTCTCAGTTGCAGGTAATGGGTCTTCGCACACCTCATCTTCCTCAAAAGCGACCAGGCAGTGCCTGGGTAATTGGATTTTATGTCTCTCCATTGATATTTTCTTGTTTTTCTTTTTTGGTGAAAATGTAGACAATTTTCATTTAAGTTATATATATTTAAAAAAAAACATTTACAAATATTTTCATCACAGTTTTAGTCATTGAAGTGCACACTTGTAGCAGCTCTGTAAAACAATGTTAATGGAGGCATGAAGGCACCAACAAAGCATCATAATTACATGATTACATCTTATGCTATTTTTAGATGAGTTTTCAGAGTTTCTATATGTTTCTATATAGTTTCTATGATTTGGTGCTGAATACTGACAGGGTCATCATAGTGGGGGATTTTGACATCCACGCTGACATTGATGGCGATAGCTTAAGTGTAGCCTTTAGTGCTATCTTAGAGGCTATTAGCTTTGTTCAAAACGTAAATAGTCCCATACATTTTCATCTTCATACTTTGGACCTCGTGCTGACCTTGGCAACTCTGTAAAACAATGTTAATGGAGGCATGAAGGCACAAAAAAGCATAATATGTAATTATCAATATGTTATCAGTCAATTGAGAAAGTTGATAGAGCTACAGTAAAAGAAAAATAATAAAACTGTGATGTATCAAGTAGTTCTTATTTTTGATGATGTGATAACATGTGCTCTAAGGTTAGTATGTCAGGGAGAGGCAAAATGGCTGTACAATTGGCAGTCAGACACCTGGAGCCATAGGAGCATTTTAAACAGGAAACCTCTCACCACCTTCATCTCAGGCATGACTCAGCTAACCAGGAGCGGCACAGGTTTAAAAACAAACATTAAAGATGGAGATTAAGTGCAGTTTCGTTGGGGCGTGTTACTATTCATCTCAGTGAACAGGAAGACGCAGGCATGCAAGATGAATCATGATTACAACACAAAAACCTACCGAGAGGTTGAAGCACAAACAGATGCTGTTAATTTAAACCTAGAGATAAACTACCATCGTCACTTCCTATTTTACAATAGTGGAGTACTTTTCGGTTATATAAAGACTGAGACAATAAAATACCAGAAGGAAACCATGGAAGACTGTGCCTTGTGTTTGTCTTAAGATTTTACATGGCTTTTCATAGATTTCTGCCAATCAGTCCCTTTTTCTTTTCACCAGAACTGGCTGAGTGACACTAGGAAGATGCAGATAGAATTTCAGAAAAGCTAAGCTGGTTTTCAAGAATGGACTCCAGATGGGGTATTGCCTTTAAACCTTCCACCTCCAGTCTGCACTCTAAAAACAGATTGGTTGAATTTGACCAATCTGGTTGATAGTTATGTGTAAAACCAATCATTTGGTTAAAACAAGAAATCAGATTTGCTAGTGTTTTTAACCAATCTATATTGGTAATAGGTCAAATCAATACAAATTCATCACTTTGACAGAAATGGTAGTTAAGTAGCTTAGCAACTGTCACACCCAAAGCTGGGGCTCAAACCAACAATCCTTCGATTGAAGCGCAAACTCCTAC